TGACGTTGTTTGCCACATTTTCTTTACTCGTTACATCGAATGCCGCATATCGAAACGAGGGTTATACTTTGTCATGATAATCACGTTGGGTAATCAATTATCAGGTGGGTCATAGAAAAATACGCTCGCATCAGGTAGCGTTATTGTATCACTCACACGTTCTGGTACAACCACATAAGAAATCAGTGCTGTCTCTATTATTTGATAGTCATTTATCCGTTCTTGTTCAACTGCGCTGAATCAACATAGGATTTAATTCCTTGCGCAAGAGATTTCACAGTTAAGGCCAAGGTTATTCCTTGAACTGGTCTAACCAAGAACCTCATGAGTTCAAAGCTGACCTCTTTGTCACCGAATTATCATGTCCCCATACGGTGTCAGCTGTTTCCGCAATTTCGGCAATGAAGAGTCATTTGAGGGAAGAGGAGCACACCACGGGCATTTTCTAATAAATTAGCATCGCCTCTGATACGCAGTCTTTTAAAAGGATTAGCACAGACCCGTTTCAGGATATACACCACGCAAGAATCTGCCAAGTGTGCAAGATTAGGGCGCTGATGTCTGGCGTTGAGCCATGCATTTTCTTGCATTTCGAACAACGAACAACAGAACTTCTATCTGCGTTGCCAAACACATCTCATGGTATTGATTAGTTCAGGACGCCGAGTTTCTGCAGTGAACTGGACTTGTTACCGTAAGTGATGCTACTTGATTCAAGCTCTATCAACGTTTAATCAAGTCATGAGGCTGAACAGTGATATCCTCGCATATCGCAACACGTTGATCAACGTTTAATCTAGGAAAATATTCACTTAATCTCTGCATTACACGAACAGGTATTGAAGACTGATCAATCTAACTATCTTCGCTTCAAGATCTTCAGAAATGCCAGAGAATCGCAGTAGCCTCAATATTTAGCATTAATTTTAAATACCTGCTGATCACATTTACCGTAAACTAGAGCGTATTTACTACCAAGTTAGCAAAGTCCTTGTTTTTTAGCCATTTAGCGCTTTTTATTTGTTTTGTCGTAGTTTGTCTTTTACTCAGATAATTGCGTAGGTAGTCTACCTTCTTTAATACTCTCTAATTGATTTCCCAAAGAACTGCGGCAAACTTCTTGCTCTCGCGAAAGCGAATTTCACGACGTAGTGTTCACGCTCACGCTAGCAACTAGTCCGACAACTTAGAACCAAGAAATTCGATGTGCCAGCAGTCAGCACTACAAGAAGTAAGTTACGTGTTGTATGGTGGAACGTTCGTTCCTTAACTGGTGAAGGTAAGCTGAACGATATCTGCCGTACAGCCCACCGGGGCAAATTCGACGTGTTAGCGGCCCGGAAGCTCGCCTGCCTTCTTGGGAAAGGGGCGCTTGACCTGCAGGATGAGTTGCATTTTTCGTTGTCGGGCTACAGTAAATTGCGCCTTGCCGGTTGGATTATCCTGTTATCACCAAGAGTAAACCGGGCTGTCTTTTCTGTAGAACAGTTGTCGGTTCATTAAGCGGACGAAGCTTAATCTCATTGTCGCCTATGCGCTGACGAATGTGTCAAGTGACAGCGTCAAAGAAGCTTCCTCTTACTGCTGCTTTGCTGCTTTCAATGCTGTAAGCACCTTACAGCGTCATTACGTCACCGTTGTCATAGGCGACTTTGACACGAGGGTTGGCGCTGAATAAAGCATGGACACCAAACTACATGGTCATCTCTTTACAGAATCCTACAGTCTCAGCTAGACCTCGTCCTCATCAGCCGAAAATGGCACAGCTCCTAACTCGAGGCTCAAGTCAGCCGTGGAGCCTCCAATGGTCTGGTCTTCATATAGTCCTAACGGAGCCTCGTCTAAAATTAGCCGTGTCACATCGATATCGCCTGGCTGAACTGCACCAGTTTCTCGATGTTGCCAGTCCACGATATGACGAAGTGGCGCGGTCGGCCTGTCAGACGAGGTAGAGAATTATTTTGGTGTCCAGTCGGAAAGTCGCAATGTTGATCAGGTTTACAGAGACTAGCGATGGCGTCATTTCTTCCCTGAAAAACAGTTGGTAAAAAGAAGAGGAGAACCAAGCTGCCCCGGGTTACGGAGAACACATTATTCGTTAGAGAGCAGACGAATCAGACAAGAAATTACGTGCAACACCTACTGCATCACTGAAGACACCTACTGCCGTTTTGTTCTTGCAGTCAGCCACAGCTACAGGCGGCACAGGGAACTTTGGTTGGAGGGTGTAGTCGGGAAGGTCGATAAAGCAGCCAGAAAGGTTGACTGGCAGATACTGTTCTCAGGAGTACGACAGCAGTCTGGTAAACACAGAACTGGCCCCACCCTTATCCAAGACTCTCAGAATGTCCCATCAGAAGAATCGCCTTGAAAGATGTGGTGAATGTTTGCCATAGCTACTCAACAGCTATCCTTCACATTTTCTCCTTCCCACCATTATTTTACTGCCAGCACTAGAGGCTACCGTAGATCCACAAAACTGAAACTGGAAATCCAGGAGAGTTTATTGCACCTCAGAGTTAAGAAGGCATACAATGTGAATCAAATTCCAACGGAGTTAACCGTATATAACGGAAGGGGAATGATGGAAACGCTCTATATCTTATTTCATAAAACATGGCTATCAGAGTGCTTCTCTACTGAATTTAAGCGTGGTAAAATTCTCCCCGTATTTGAAAGATGACGGGCAACCGAGTGCACTATCGTGGTATTATCCCACTGTCTACTCTTGGCAAATGTTCTTCTGGACTGTTGTGGAAAAGTCGAGGCAAGCAGTTGATAGAAGACCGCCAAACTTAAGCAAGTTTCTGGAGATGATATTCACGCCCTGACCAAGCTTTCACTCTTACTCCTCACTTCGTCGGAGCTTGGAGCAATGCCGACGATTCCATTTACCTTGGTTCGCAAGTTTCCTCCACTTTAAAGCTGCATCTGATCGACGG